CACATTAATGATTCAAGATGAAATCTTAAGTTAGGATTGGTGCCAAAGTCAATGCAATTTATACCTGGTTGCCCTTTATTTATTAAATGAAAATTAATGGCTTTTTGCTTCATGTCAGAAGATAATGAGCATGACATTGATTTTGTGTATAAAGTTCAGACACAAATAGTTAATTATTTAAAAGAAAATCATCCTAATATTTTAAAGATTCTGTATTTTTAGATGGTTATGATGCACAGTATAAAAACCACAAAAACTTTTGCAATATCTGTTTCCATTAAGATGATTTTTATTTTTTGCTACAAGTCATGGTAAGTCACCATGTGATGTTATAGGTGGCACTGTAAAACTATTAACTGCAAATGCAGGTCTACAAAGGCCCATAAATGACCAGAAAATGAATTGAAGAGATTATTTTTTTCAAGAATGAAAAAGATAGAGTTACATATTTGCAAACCACTTTGAACAAATGTTTTCAGCTAATTAGAATGATTTCTGGAACTAGGAAATATCGTCAAATTAAACCAACAAGTTAAGATTTTAATATAACATTTTCTTTTTCTGGTATATAAAGTATTCAACCTAATCAGCATATTAACATCAATACATTGAAAATTGGTGAATTTATTCTGTGTAAATATGATGTTTCATTGAATTGATATGATAAATGAAATTGACAATCTTGAGCAAGATGTTGTGGTGACATTTATGCATCTGCACAGTCCATTTAACAAACTTTTCTGGCCATCTAGAACAGATAAGTGTTGGGTTCCAATTACCAACATAGTTTGTATCATAATGAACCTGTAACAACAACTGGACATATGTATATTTTGACTGTTGACGCATCTAAGCAAATCTTAACACAATCTTGATATATTTATACTTTACATTTTTGTATTTTATTTTGTAAATAATTAAATAAAATGGAACAAGTACAAACCAAAAATCAAAGTTATCTTTACATTATTGAAAATGCAAGAAAAAATTTTTTTTTTCGAGAAAATAAGTGGGCCATGAACCCAAGCCATAAAGCCTCTGGTCGTTTGCCATGAAATTTTAACATGCATTCATCAGAACTACACAAATGCTGAAAGTTTCAGACCTTCAATCTGGAAAGTAGTGAAAAATCTCAAGACATTACTACAAAAAAGTGGGCACTTGCCCCAGTCCCCCCTAATGTCTTGTGGCCTGAAAACAATTTTAACGTGCATATTTATTGGCACACAGAAATGCCAAATATTTGGGAGCTCCAGGTAGTCTGGAAGGTAGTGAAAAATCAACTATAATATTCTGTTACAAAAAAGTGGGGACCCCATGCCGAATTATACATATATGGAAATTCATATACTTGCAGATCAAAAACTTTACATTTTTTAAAAGATCAATGAATATAGAATGATGTGTAATACTTTTTTTTTTTTGATATCATCAAGGCCACATGGGCTTCTTGATCATTAAAATAGCAAGCTACACATTTTTAAGTAAAAAAAATAAATTTTTAATGTTATGTGACTTAAAACCTCCAAATAAATGTTGCAATTCTGAGGGGACAAAAGGGGCCTGGCCAATATCTGCTAAAAGTAAAACGGTTATATTTCAGGATCCTCTTGGAGCCAGAGGCTAAAATTTTCAAGGAATTCTTATTTTACTAAGCACTCTTAACTGTTTAAAAATCAGCAAAATCTGAGATATAGTGACATGACCTGGGTCATTTGACATGGAATTACTCATCACAATTTAATTAATCAAATAATTTAAAAAGGCAGTTCTTTAGAAACAGTATATAAGGGAGGAAGACCACATAAAACATGTCATTTCACTGCTAAAAAATTAACTGAAATTTTTAGTGTCCAAAAATACAGTTTGCAGGCGGTTATGACTTTCAGGATTTTTATGCTTCAGAGCAGTCCTTGCTCATAGACACTAGACTATTAAATTAATAGTTCATTATTAATTTAATTATGGGATAAGAGTCATGTAATGATTCATAATTTATCAGGGTTGGCATTAAAAAACCCGCCCAATAAAACCCCAAAAAATCCAACTAAAAAAACCCAATAAAACCCTGGAAAATCTGGGTTTTATTGGGTTTTTTTAAAGATATTTAATAAGTTTATGAACTTTTATAACCAACTTTAACATTATAACTATAATGTTATTAACTAAAATAATTATTAACTATTATTATTAACTAAATTATTATTAACTATTATAACCAACAATAACAGCTATTAGAGCATGTTTACTATTATTTTAATCATTATTTGGAAATACATTATTACAACTTTTATTCAAATATTTTTATCGATTAAGATTTTTATTACTTCATGTTATTCACCTCCCAAGTTGATTTTAAATGAGTAGTAGTGACCAGAGAAGCCAACTTAACAGTTGAGGAGGCTACCTTGTTGTGGTTACAATCCTCTCTCAACTCTTTAATCCTAAACACGAATCTTTATAAACAAGCCCGCTGCGCAGCGGAACAAGTTTGTTCATTTGAATTTCAAGTTCAAAGTTTAATTGAAACTTCAGTTACTACCTCCCATTCTCTAGCCTTCTTTTTCCCATTTTCTCATTGACATTTTTAATTATATAGAATAATACTTTTAAATTTAAAATAAATCAATACATATAGATTAAGCATGAATTTTTTTTTTTCTATTACAGTTTTAAATTATATTTAAAAATCTTTTTCAAAATAATTTGAAAAATTCTTGTTATAAATAATTAAATAACAATATATAAAATATATTTTAAATAAAGTTAAAGTAGAAAATAAAACTAATTTTCAATATCATTAAACAAAAACACAAAAAAAAATTTTACAGGGACAAAATAAAAATTAAACCAAAAAAAAACCCAAATTTACCCAAAAAAACCCACTGGGGCGGGTTTTTGCCAACCCTGTAATTTATGTTTGTTTAATACACATGTAATGATTTATGGTTATTTTTCTGGTTTTAAAGGAGTTGGACCTATCCATTCAGTAAATAGCATTATGGATCAATTTGTTTATCATTATATTCTTGAAGAAAAGATGGTTTCTCATGTTGATGCCTTTACATCCTGAATGGATGTTTCAGACTAACTCAACACAAATCTAATAAAGTTAAACAATAGTTTTAGTAATGAAGTGGTTCAACTACTTGATCTCAATCCTGTTGAAAACTTTTTAAATAGTCATATTATGTATAAATCAAGATGAGTCCAGTACTTTCTGTAGTATCAGGTAGATTTAAACTCTTTATTATGAGTAGTCTACTATCGCATTAAGTTTATTTTGTTCCAGCAACTTAATTTATTAAGTGTCCAAAATGTTGGAATGAAAATCCACAAAATGAAAATGACTGGTTTACATGTGAAAATTGAAAATACCAAAGCTGAGTGTGTTTTGTATGCTCTTTATGATGAGTGCTTTTATACCAAAAAATGTAGAGAATTATTTTTTTTTCTTCGCTTTATTGTACTTAAAGCATGTACACGAAATAAATGTGAAAGTAGAAAAACAAAAACAAAAAAAGTACTCTTCAATTTTTTTTCTCCAACCAAATAATTTTAATACAATAATATAAGAAGATCAAATATAAAGAAAAAAAAACAAATTATTCCTGTGGGAATCTAATAAAGTTTCGAACTTTTGTTTTGGTGGTACCCGTAAGCTTATGTACTGAATAAGAATTGAAGCCATTTGATGCTTTTTTAAATGATGTTTTAATATCTTTAATATTTCTGCAAAGTTTTTTTGTTTTTTTCATTTTTCTTTTAATAGTGGCCCAGTACTTTTCAATTACTCTTAATTCTGGGTTGTTTGGAGGATTTTCTGTTTTAGGCGATAATTTCACATTATTATTTTTATATCATTCCAAAGCTAGTTTACAATAATGAATTGAAGCTAAATCTGGCCAGAACACAAGTCTCTTATTGTGTGATTTAATGAGAGGCAAAAGGCGTTTTTGTAAATACTCTTTAACATATATTTGACCTGAAAGTGTGGACTGAGAAATATAAGGTGCTGATTTTTTGCCACAACTGCAAATAGCTTTCCAAATCAAGACTTTTTTAGCAAATTTGTCATGCTTTATGTATTTAAATTTTTTATCTGCTTTTCTTCTACATTTGGCAATATAATAGACAGCACCAGGAATTTGCTGATGATCGTACTTGATTTCATCGCCTTTAATAATACAAAAATTTTTAGAAATGAAATTGTCATACAACTTTCTGCTGCGGGTTTTTGCACTTTTTTGTTGAGTTTCAGATTGGTTGGCTACTTTTTGTGCTTTGAAAGAATAAAAATCAGGTTTATTTTGAACTTTTACAACAAAACTATGAGCAAGTCCATAAATGTTTGCACGCTCCCCTAGTGAAAGGCTTGGGTTTGTCTTAAAACTGTTAACCAGTTTTCTAACTAGTTTTTTATCTTTAAAACCCTTCTTTCTTCCACCACCAGATTTACGTTTGATCAATTTTGTTTGAGAAAAACGTTGGATTACACGACTAACGGTGTATGTATGTATTTGCAACACTTTTGCTATCGAATTGTAGCTACTATTGGGATTTTCCAAATATTTGTGCATAATTTTTTCTCTTATGTCTTCTTTTGTCATTTTTAAAACTAATTTAAAAAATGAAAAAAAGTTAAATTAAAAAACTGCTACATTTTTTTTAAACCACAAAATACAAAACAATTAAAAAGATTTTAATATAACCACTGAAAAAAAATAACGTACTTATTCTTTCACATTTATTTCGTGTTCATGCTTTAATTGTTAATTATTCTAATTAATTGTTTTATTCCTATTAATTATAACTTTATTTTATTTTTGATGCATAAAAACTTAAAAAAAAAATTTAAAATTTATGTATTGTAAAGAAAAAATTTTAATAAATCTTTTTAAAAAAATAACCTCTTTCTAAAAAAAGAAATCTAATTATTTTGACTATCAAAAGACATTTAGTTATAAAATTTTATATTTTAGTTATATATTTTAATTTAGGTTCGTCTTCCGCCAGAAGTTAATCGAATTTTATATATAAGGTAACTTAATTTTTTTTGTTTGTTTTCAATATTTTATCTATATTCTTTATTCCTTGCTTAATCATTTAAAATTCTTAAATTATTGCTTTTAATTAAATCTTTTTTTTTGTGTGAAGAAATTTGCCGTATAAAATTTCTGCAGAAGAGTTGTATGATATTTTTGGAAAATATGGAGCTATTCGACAAGTGCGCCTGTGAGTTTTATTAGTAACTGTTATTAGTCTTGATTATCAGTAACTGTTATTAGTCTTGATTATTTATTACTATTATTATAATATGTTTATAGAGATTTATATAAATGTAAATTTTTATACCTTCTTATTCAAGTACAATAAATATAAAATTCTAATAAATAGACTAGAGCAAAAAATCATTGCAATTCATTCTGTCTTAGCTTATAACACCCATGTATGAGAAGTGAAATGATAGGCTTTTGCTGAAGATACCATTAAAAGTTTCTAAACGTTTTACAAAAATAAAACTTAATTTCTGACAGAAAATTGAGTTATCCGAGAATGATAAATTTTAGTCTGAAGAATAAATACAAGATAAAAGGTTTAGAGAGATCATAGCATGGTTTGATTCATCCAACAGAGATCAAGGAGAAGCTGAACACAAACTCAGATCAGAGACCAGATACAAATCAACAAGTAAAAGTAAGTGATTAGGGTTGTCTAGAAAAATATTTCACAAAGTTAACTATGTGTGATCTTTAGTGCCAGCAGTATCAGTGGTACTTAAACTGAGTTATTTCATGTGAGTGGCATTAAAATCGCTAATAATAATAAATAATTCACTGATAAATAAACAGAAAGTGCTAGATTAATTTGATCAAAAATACCATTGAAAACTGTGCAGTCATGAGATAAAGGAAAACCATAAAGAACATCTCAAACATGATTAAGTGAAGAAGGGATAAATGAAATGCATGAATTCATAAGAAATAGGTGAATTGATATATGTTAAGGCCAAGCATGTGGCTATTAGAGTTTTTGCGAATCAAAAAATAATAACCATCTACACTGAGATGTGAAGATGGTTATAAACAATCGAATTTGATATAGTCTCACTCAGAGCAAGCAGGTTGATAAATAAGCTCCGTTACTAGTAATTGGTTAATCGTTGTAGATTTTGACATCAACGCTAAAATGTCAGTATACAGATTTTATGACTGTTTTGCAAACAAATCATTAGATGAGAATATCATTGCTAAATTTTCTAGATAAAAGGCTATTAAAATTGATAAAGAGTCTAATGAAGTTGATGTTTTGTTAGAAAAAGACTACTTTAACAAAAGATGAATTTTTAGGCTTTCATAGTAATGATAATCTTAATCTAAATTTATCTGTTATTAATTTATATATAGTTTTAGTTTATTAATTTATATATAGTTTTAGTTTATTATTTTATATATAGTTTTAGTTCATTAATTTATATATAGTTTTAGTTTATTAATTATATATATAGTTTTAATTTATTATTTTATATATAGTTTTAGTTCATTAACAACACATTATCCAGAAACTTTATGTCATTGATTTTTATTATAAACTTTAAATATCATACAAACTGTACTTCATGTACATAATGTAGCTTATCTGACAAAAACTACAAGTACTTAGTTTCTAATCTAAAATAGAAATCGTTGTGCAAAAATAAAATGACCTTACCCTGTTTTTAATCTAAAATGACTGTTTCTCTAGATTTATTATCATTGGGTCTAGTAAATCTAGGAAAAGTCTAGTTTTTCATTCACATTACACGCAACATTCACAATGCATGCAAGAGAATGGTATTCAAAAACCTTCTGAAGAGTTTTAGATAACAAAAATATTATTTAACTAAAGAAACACAAAGCAAGCAAAATACATCAAGAATCATTATTTTATGAAAAAGTATTTGAGAATCTTGCACAAAGTTTCTCAACAAATTTATATTTTTAAATTGAAGTAAAATCTCTATTATTTTTAATTTGTTGCATTATAGTGGCGTCACTCAAGAGACTCGAGGAACAGCTTATGTTGTTTATGAAGATATATTTGATGCAAAAAATGCATGCGATCATTTATCAGGTTTCAATGTGTGCAACAGATACCTAATTGTATTATACTATCAAGCTAACAAAGTAAACTATATTTTATTTAATTGTCCAGGTTATATGTTTATAGGTTATAACCATAAATACATAACCAGGTTATATATTTATAGATTATTAATTGTCCAGGTTATATATTTTGCTTAACTGCTTTATTTTTATTTTTTTAAATTGTTCTTCTTATGAATACTTTTTAATTTGTTAAATTCTTTTTAGTATTTAAATTTATATTTTAAAAACTGTTTTTTTTTTTTTAGATGTTCCAAAAAATGGATAAAGACAAAAAGCAAGATCAAATTGATAAATTAAAAACAAAATATGGCGTTACAGACACGCCTGAAAGATAAATTTGGTTTTTGTAGACTTTTTGACGCGGTAATATTAGTATGAAAATGAACGAAACTACGTGCGTTGGTACCTTTTCTTAGCTTTATGTGATTACTTTTCTACTATCCTAAGCTAAGCTATGTAAACTTATGTTATATATCTTATCAAAAGTTAAAAATATATTTACCTTAAGAATACGCGTTTTAGTAATAGTACCAATAATTTCTATAGTTTTTGTTGCCATTTTTACATTGGCAGAATCAGTTATTCATCATTTTATATTGAGAATCGTGTCAAAGTACTAGTAATAACAAGGATTGACCTTTTAAATAAAATTATATTTATATTTATGATATTAAAAAAAAAAAATTGTTTAGTTTTAATTTTCACATGTTCACTCTGCGGCAGGTTTAATTCGCCTTGAAGTAAATATCAGTGCATAAATATAGAATAAAGTAATACGCCTTATCCTCCAGGATATTTTTACTTGCACTTAAATTGATAAAAAGCAATATTATCTTGCTAAAAATTTTCGAGATGTTTTTAATAAGCGCTCTCTAAGAGGCCGTGATTATGATAGAGCAATTATGCCATTATTATGTCCATTTATAATTTAACTATTCACCTCTTGTATGGTTGCTTTTGGTAAGCTATATATATTTGGTAAGACATTGGTAACAGTTTGTTGTGCAGGTAATGCAATAGGAAACTCAATCCCTCCATTTTTTTATTTTTCCAAGATTTCATTTCAAAGGAAGTATGATAAATGGTGGTCCACCTGGATGTGTTGGGGTTGCAAACCCATCTGGTTGGATGAATGTTGCAACCTTTTTAGAGTGGATGAAAAATTTTATTCAAAATGTGAAATGTTCACCAGCTAATCCAGTGTTTTTTTTTTTTTTTTACATTTATTTTGCTGTTTAACAAATATAATCAACACATATATATACAAGAAAGAAAGAAATATGTCCGTATAACAAAGAAGACAGTAAAATCTTGTCAACAAGCACCGTTTTTGTATATACAGTATATAAAATACTTTTTTACAATGATCTTTATAAAATAAAGAGTTAAACAGACAGGGGCTCAAAGAAGATGAAGATGACAAAAAGTCATCGCAATCTTTTCATAGAGTCCCCTATATACATTTTCATCAGGTTATGGATATTAAATTAAATTAAAAACCCTAATGGGCATAAAACTGCTGCGCTGATCAATAAAAGCAAATAAATAAGATTATAAAGAAAATTACTTTGTAATCCTTTTAAGCACAAATAATAATCAAATTTTAAAAATTTCTTTTTTTATCAGAAACTTAAAGGAACTTAATGACTTTGCCATACATTTGGAGCCTTTTTGATATCTATTCCATATATTTGGCCCCCGATATGCAATGCTATATTCAGTATATTTATTAAGGTTTTGAGGGAGTTTATATGTGTTACTTATATTTGCTCTTAGATAGTAGTTTTCATTTATGTTTATTTCAAACTTGTTAGTAAAGTTTGTAGGAGAGAGATTATTATTAAATTGATACATAAAAATTAAATGCTGATAGATATTTATTTCAAAAACATCCATCATTTTCATATCTTTCATTATAGGTTTTGCATTGCTTTTACTTCTTGACAACCACGAGAGCCATGTTTCAACTGTGTGTTTAGATTTAGCTAAAAAAAATGGCATAACTATGCTGTCCTTTCCACCACATCGTAGTCACAAGTTGCAGCAATTAGATCGGTCAGTTTATGGGCCACTGAAACGTTATTACAATGCAGCCTGTGATGATTGGATTGTATCTAATCCAAGAACGATGACCATATATGATATAGCTTCAGTTGTAAGGAAAGCCTATGCACAAGCTTTTACTTTGTCTAACATTTCTGCACGATTTGCTGTAGCAGGAATTGAACCCTTTAATCCTAACATATTTTCTGATAATGAGTTTTTGTCTTCATATGTAACAGACCTTCCAGAACCTATTACTGCTAACCCATTTCCAGGTGTTGTTGATCCAGTTTCCGCTAGTGTTTATGCCCCAGCTTTTAATCAATCATTGATGTCAAGTCTGTCATCTGGTTCAGCTTGTAGTGTATTGCCTATTCAGCCTATATCTGACCCTGGAAGTCAACTATCCAGTGTTTCTAATAATATCTATCATCAAGCAAGTCTAGAAAAAATTAGGCCATTTCCAAAAGCTGGATCAAGGAAATCCATTAAAGGACGCAAACGTCAGCGTACTCGAATACTCACAGACACTGTGAGTATTGAGTACGCTGTTCGAAATGAGTTAAATAAGCTTCTGGAAATAAAAAAAAAATCTCAGTCAAAAAAGAAAAAACTTGAAACGCAAAATAAGATCTTCATGACAAGAAAAAGAAAACTTGATCTTGAAAGTAATGAAAATAATAACGTTGAGTCTCAGTAAAAAAATAACATTTTTTCATTAATTTTTACTTTTTTAAGAAAGATAAATTTGTAGTAAAATTAATAATAACTTTATTGGTTTTTATTATAGACATTGTTTTGATGACTTAAAATTTATTCTTATACATTCATGGTATAAATTTGATTTCGAATCAATTATCAAGGGTGCATATAGGTAGGATCAAGGGAGCATACTGGTATGCACCCATGATTCTAATTGAGCTTTCTTAGTTTTTATAACTTTAAATCTACTTAAAATATTCTGGTAAAAAAATAATAATTGAATTATAATAAGGTATAAAATTTGTTATTATGTACTGTTATTTTAGAGATCGAAATAAAAACATATATTCAGTAAATTGGTCTGATAGATTTTTAGAATCATGGGTGCATACTCACCCCTACGTCATTTTTTTGCGGCGGTTGTATGATATTTTTAATCGATCAAACGAAAATCTGGTAGTGGAGAAGGCTTTTCTTGATATAAAACTGTTTAACAGTTTTAGGTAGATAATAGAATCAAAAAAATATTCCGACGTTTGAAATTTTGTGTATATTGATGACCCGATAACAAGTAATATATTTGTAATTTATTAATGCTAATAAATATTACGCGTGGTCTTGTGGTTATTATAGTAACTCAAGAAGCTGGCGATTCGGATTCAATTCCTCTTAACATCCACTGACTTAAATAGGTAGAATGTGCAGGGAGTGTCAGTGACAGATTAAGACTTCTTGGGGCTATTTTTGTTTTTGGAGGCCTTTATATGGAACTAAAAATGACTAAAAAAAAAAGGTCTTTTAAAACTTTTGGGGGCCCCTTAATTTGCGGGGCCTAGGGCTCTAGCCCCCCCCCCCTCTTGATCCGGCACTGGGGAGTGTACATAGATCGACTGACTAAATAGGAAGAACATGCTAGGATTGTACATAAGGGGAGAGTGTGTATGAAAGAACCAATACCATTATATCTAACTTTTTGTGTGGCAACGCTGGATACCTGTCACCCACAAAAAATTTAGAGTTCTACTAAAATAAATAGTTTACCTATTTCTTTTTAAGATAAAGAATGTTTTATTATTTGATAGAACATATATGCTGCTTTTATATATATATATATATATATATATATATATATATATATATATATATATATATATATATATATATATATATATATACAGGGCCGCCAAGAGGGAGGGGCAATTGAAGTAGTTTGCCCCGGGCATCACAGTCCATGGGGCATCACATACGCCAAAAAATTATTGAAATCATAAAAAATTTAAAGTTTAAGCAAACTTTGTGTAATAATTTCGTTCTCCTTATAAATTTTGTTTACATTTAAAGTATATTAATTATTACTTTACAAGGTTTTCATTTTCCTTCTGAACAAACGCTTTTCTATTCATAGATATATAAGTTATATAATTTATACATAATATATATAAAAGGTATATAATTTATATATCTATGTTTTTATTGGCCTTTTGTTTGCGTAATAAAGTAAAGATTTTTTTCTTATTAGTTCTTTTAGAGATGAAATAAAACTGAAGATGAAACAAAGTGATGGAAAGCAATTTTATAATGCATTCTTGGTGTCACAATTTTCGTGGCATTCTTGGTGTCACAATTTTCGTGGCATTCTTGGTGTCACAATTTTCGTGGCATTGAGAAATTTTGCGTTTATGAGTAAAAGGATTGTTATTAAATTTTAAATTTTATACTTTGCATTATTTTATTTACATTTTAAAAATTAAAATAATAAGTTATAATTGTATATAACTGCGGATTATTATTTTTGATAACTTTTGGTTTGCAATTAGGATCCAATCAAAAAGTGTTCAAATATGGGAATAGAAAGTTCTTGGAGCTTATTGCTGAGAACCAAAATGAAGAAAAGCGTATGCAAGCCTATTCCTTATCCTGAATGAATTTATTGGGTATAATGGTTTAAATCCATATATTTGACCATCATCACGGACAGCACTCGCGATGCAATCCACAGCGGTTAAATTTCTTTCATTTTTTATTTTTTGCATTTCATGAAATGCAGAAAATTAAAAATTAAAGAAATTAAAAATGAAAGAAATTAATGAAAAATGAAAAAAGTTAATGAAAAATGAAAGAAATTAAAAATGAAAAAAATTTATTATCCCTTCAGGGCTAATCATCTGTTAAAGGTCAAAAAAAAGTTTCTTAAACTAGAATTACTTGAGAAGAAAAAAGGATCTGATTTAACAAATTTGATATAAATGAGTTAGAAGAGATTGAGTTTGACACAAAAAATTGTTGTGGTCAAGGCTACGACAATAGCGCTAATATAGCAGCTATTTACAATAGAGTTAAAGCTTTGATTAGGCAGAATAATCAACAAATAATTTTCATTCCTTGCTCTACTCACTGTTGCAGTGTCGCACTGTCACTGTTACTCAGTGTTGCACTGTCACTATTGCAGTACAAGCTATTGAATCATCGGTTTCTGCAAAATCATAATTTGAAAAAATTCAAAAGCTATACAAGCTGTTCAGCTGCAGCCCGGTTTGTAGAAAAATTCTTCAGTAGGAAACAGGCCAATCATTAAACAAACTTTCTGTTACACAATGGAGCTTAAGGGTTGAAGCAGTCGAGCCGCTAGCATAATAGCAAAAAAGATCTTGAAATTATTA